TATGTCCCCTGAGTGAGCCACATCCATCCCCTATGTCCCCAGGAGACCCTCCAAAACCAGCAGGCAGGTCTAGCCCAGGCTCCTATGAAATCACTGCCTCTGCCCTTGGAGCTGGCGCACACAAGATTCTGTGTGTGCTTCCCAAGAGAGTGAAGTCTGTGTTTGCCCCAGTCCTGGGGGGGCTCCTGGAGCTAAGCCCTACTGACCTTCAAAACCAGATGTCCCGGGGACCCTCCTCCTTCCAATGCTGAACCCTGGGCTGGGGAGCCTGACTGGGGCTGAGAACTCTCACTCCTGTGGGAGGGCCTCTGCAACTTAATTATTCTTCTGCTGTGGGCCGCCTTCCCAGGGAGTATGGGGCCCGATTATATCGCGAGCACGCCCCTCCTACCATCCTGCTGTGGTTGCCTCTTTGTGTTTCCAGTTGAAGAAGATCTTTTTTGCTTGGTTCCAGTCTTTTTTTCCGATATTTGTTTAGCAATTAGTTGTGGTTTCATCGTAGTTGCGAGGAGAGGTGAACTCGTGGTCCTAGTGCTCTGCCATCTTGACTGGTGATCTGTTCCTTTTAAAGACAGCCGATTAGTAACCTTAATTCCCCCTTAGATTGCAGGATAAGGATGTGAACGTCTCTGGGGCAAAGGCCATTATTTTGCCTACTAAAAAGTGTTTCCTCTGGAGATAGATTGATGGTGAGGAGACCAGTTAATAAAGGTTACTTCAGTAACACAAGGGTAAGTGTTTAACTGGCCAGGAGAAAATGTTGTCTGATTGAGACTTGTAGAATGTAAAAGCACGGGAGAGTACACTGATCAGAGGGATTGTCCGCCTCACTCCACCCCACAGCTTTAAATCCTGTGCTTAGGGCAACGCTTTGCAGGTAGTACCACCTCAAGAGACACTTGCCTAGTCACGGACTGAAGGAGTAATTCACTCTACTGCTTTTCTTCTAAAGTTTAGTGATGTCTTCTCAAATTTCCTAGAAATCTACTGTCTGAACCCTTTATTTTAGCATTTGATCAAGGCTTAACATTATTTATTTGCTTGTATTCTTTCTTTTACCAACTAAGATGAAATATTATTCATTTATTGAACTAACTACAATATTGCCCACAATCTAGTTTACATGAGCGGTATTCTATGAACTATACTTTCAAAACTTGGTTTTATGAGCAAACTTTTATCACATAATATGAACCCTCCATGTAGACATGGCTGATTATTTTCTGCCATGTAGTTAAGACTAAAATCTTAGTTTCCTTTTCCCTTCTGTTTTTTATTATTGCCTCAAGGCCAATACCTACATGATCATAAATGGATTCACTGAGTAGGTTGTGAGGTTACTAGAATAACAAAGAAAGTTTCTCTGTATATTTCATATCAGTTGATCACACCCTCCAATATCCTGTTATAGGTTTTTTGAAAAATTATTTTGGTAATTGCTATAATGGATAGTTCCCTACTATTTGAACTCAACAAATACAGTATAAAAATATCAGAGCTCAGACACTAAATCTTAGACACATTGTGTGAATATTAAAAATAAGTGGGCTGTATGCCTTTTGTCATCTTGGAAATTTTTGAAATTTTCCTGGAGTATCTTTTCATTGAGTACATACATATAATTTAATAATCAAACACAAACAATGTTAATGGATTGTACACTAAAGCTGTGGCAAGATTAGATACATCCATGACAAAGAAACAGCAGAGACAAACTTAAAATACAGGATAGATCTGTGGGTATGTCAAAAGCCAAAGATGGTGTATGTGATTTTCCCTCTGTATAAAATAAACAGTAACACTGGAAGAAGTTCTGACTACTAGTTCAGAATGAATGAGGGTCCATTTCTGATTATGCCAAACCCAGAAAGAGGGACTGAACTAGATCTTTATATTTTTTATTTTTATTTTTTATTGAAGTATAGTTGATTAATAATATTAGTTTTTAGGTGTACAACACAGTGATTCAATATTATAGATTATACTGTATTTAAACTTGTGACAAAATACTAGCTATATTTCACTGTGCTTTACAATATATCCTTATTGCTTATTTATTTTATACATAGTAGTTTGTTTCTTAATCCCATATCCCTATTTCACCCCTCCCCCTTCCCTCACCCCAGTGTTAACCACTAGTTTGTTCTCCATCAGTTTCCATTTTGTTATATACCTCATTTGTTTTACTTTTTAGATTTCACATATTAGTAATAGCATATAGTATTTGTTTTTCTCTTTATGACTTATTTCACTAAGCATAATACTCTCTAGGTCCCTCTTGTTGCAAATGGCAGAATTTCATTCCTTTTTTATGCCTGAGTAATATTCCTGTGTGTGTGTGTTTATGTTTATGTATACATACACACACATACCACACCATCTTCATCCATTCGTCTGTTGATGGGGACTTAGGTTGCTTGCATAATTTGGCTATTGTAAATAATTTGCTGTGAACATTGGGGTACATGTATCTTTTTGAATTAATATTTTTCTTTTCTTCAGATATATACTCAGCAGTGAGATTGCTGGATCATATGGTGATTCTATTTTTAGTTTTCTGAGGATACTCTATACTGTTTTCCATAGTGGATGTTCCAATTTACAATCCCACCAACAGTGTGGTAGGATTCCCTTTTTTCCACATCCTCCTCAGCATTTGTGATTTGCCAACTGTTTGATGATAGCCATTTTGACAGGTGTGAGGTGATATCTCACTGTGGTTTTGATTTGCATTTCTCTGATGATTGGCAATATTGAACATTTTTTTATGTGCCTGTTGGCCATCTGTTCATCTTCTTTGGAAAAATGTCTATTTAGGTCTTCTGCCCATTTTTTAATTGGGTTGTTTGATTTCTTGATATTGAGTTATATGAGCTGTTAATATATTTCGGATATTAACCCCTTATTGGTCATACCATTTGCAAATATTTTCTCCCATTCAGTAGGTTGTCTTTTTGTTTTATTGATGGTTTCCTTTTCTATGCAAAAAGCTTTTTAAGTTTAAGTAGGTCCCACTTGCTTATATTTACTTTTATTTCTTTTGCCTTAGGAGACAGATCCAAAAAAATATTTCTATGACTTATCTCAAAGAGCATTCTGCCTGTGTTCCCTTTTAGGAGTTTTATAGTTTCAGGTCTTAAATTAAGGTCTTTAATCCATTTTGAATTTATTTTTATATATGGTGTGAGGAAATGTTCTAATCTGATTCTTTTACATGTAGCTGTCTAGTTTTCCCTGCACTACTTATTAAAGACTGTCTTTTCTCCATTGTATATTCTTACCCCCTTTCTTGTAGATGAAATGACCATAAGTGTATGGATTTATTTCTCAGCTCTCTATTCTGTTCCATTGATTGATATGTCTCTTTTTGTGCCAGTACCATGCTGTTATGATTACTATGGCTTTGTAGTATAGTGTGAAGTTAGGGAGCCTGCTTCCTCCAGCATTGTTTTTTTTTTCTCAGCATTGCTTTGGCAATTTGGGGTCTTTTGTGGTTTCATATAAATGTTAGGATTATTTCTTCTATAACTGTGAAAAATGCCATGGGTATTTTGATAGGGATTGCATTAACAGTGTAGAATGCTTTGGCTAGTATGATCATTGTATTAATTCTTAATATTAATTCTTCCAATCCAATAGCATGAGACAGCTTTCCATTTGTATCATTTTCAAATTCCTTCATCAGTGTTTTATAGCTCTCAGAGTTTAGGTCTTTCACCTTCTTCAGTTTATTCATAGGTATTTTATTCTTTTTGATGTGATTTTGTATGAGATTGTTCTCTGCTTTCTCTTTCTGGTAATTCATTTTGGGGGTGTAGAGGAAAAGCAACAGGTTTCTGTATAAATTTTATATCCTGTAATTTAACTGAATTCATTTATTAGTTCTAATATTTTTAGTGGAGACTTTTGGGTTTTCTATATATAGTATCATGTCATGTGAAAATAGTGACAGTTTTTACTTCTTTCCTTCCATTTTGGATGCCTTTTATTTCTTTGTCTTATCTGACTGCTGTGGCTGCGTTTTCCACCACTATGCTAAATAGAAGTGGTGTGAGTGGGCAGCTTTGTATTATTCCTGATTTTAGAAGAAAAGCTATCATCAGCTTTTTCACTGTTGAATACAATGTTAGCTGTGGGTTTGTCATAAATGGCTTTTATTATGTTCAGATATGTTCTGTCTGTGCCAGCTTTGATGAGTTATGAATGGATGCTGAATTTTGTCAAATGCTTTTTCACATGTATCAAGATGATCATGTGATTTTATACTTCCTTTTATTAACCTAATGTTTCACATTGACTGATTTGCAACATTAAATGATCCTTGCGTCTCTGGAATAAATCCCACTTGATCATGGTGTGTGATGCTTTTTATGTATTACTGATTTCAGTTTAATATTTTGTCGAGGATTTTTACACCTGTATTCATCAGAGATACTGGCCTACAAGTTTCATTTTTTTGTAGTATCTTTGGTGTGGCTATCAGGGTAATAGTGACCTCACAGAATGAATTTGGGAGTGTTCTATCCTTTTCAATGTTTTAGAATAGTTTGATAAGGATAGGTATCGGTTCTTTATATGTTTGGTAGATTTCCCCTGTGAAGCCGTCTGATTATGAACTTCTGTTTGCTGGCAGTTTCTAAAATACAAATTCAGTTTCACTATTCAGGTTGTCTATTTTTCCTGTTTCAGTCCTGGCAAGTTGTATGTTTCTAGAAATTTGTCCATTTCTTCTAGGAAGTTGGCATATAACTGTTCATAGTATTGTCTTACGATTTTTTTGTATCTCTGTAGCATTGGTTGTTATTTCTCCTCTTTCATTTCTTACTTTGAGTCTTCTCTTTTTTCTTCCTGATGAGCCTGGCTAAAGGTTTATCCATTTTGTTTATCTTCTCAAAGAACCAGCTCCTGGTTGTATTGATCTTTTTTCTTTTACTTTTTTGATCTCTGTTTTATTTATTTCCTCTCTGATCTTTATTATTGCCTCCCTTCTGCTGGCTTTGTTCTTTTTCCTTTAAGTGGTAGATTAAGTTATTTATTTCAGATTTTTGTTGTCTCTTGAGGTAGGCCTGTGTCGCTATAAACTTTCTCCTTAAAACTGCTTTTGTTGCCCCCCCCCATAGAGTTTGGGAAGTTTTGTTTCCATTTGAATTTGTCTCAAGGTATTTTCTGATTTCCTCTTTGATTTCTTCATTGACTCATTGATTTTTTTTAGTAGCATGTTGATTAGTCTCCACGTGTTTGTGCTTTTCTTATTTTTTCCCCTGTAACTTATTTCTAATTCATACCATTGTGGTCAGAAAAAAAATGCTTCATATAATTTCTATCCTCTTAAATTTGCTGAGACTTGATTTGTGGCCTAGCCTGTCATCTATCTGGGAGAATGTTCCATGTGCGCTTTAAAAGAATGTGTATTCTGCTGTTGTGGGATGGAATGCCCCATAACTATCTATTATGTCCAATTGGTCTGTTGTGTCACTTATGACTACTGTTTCCTTATTGATTTTCTGTCTGGATGATGTGTCCATTGAGGTAAGCGGGGTGTTAAAGTCCCCTACTGTTATTGGATTGCTGTCAAGTACTTACTTTGTCTGTTAATATTTACTTTATGTATTTAGGTGCTCCTGTATTAGGTGCATATATGTTAATAAGTGTAATGTCCTCTTCTTGTATTGATTCCTTTATCATTACATAATGCCCTTCTCTGTCTTTTGTTGCAGAGTTTGTTTTAAAGTCTATTATTTTGTCATATGAATATTCCTACCTCAGCTTTATTATTGTTTCCATATACATGAAATATCTTTTTCCACCCTTTCATTCTGTGTGTCTTTAGCGCTGAAGGTGAGTCTCTTGTAACCAGCATCTAGGTGGGTTTTTTTTTTTCTTTTAATCCAATGAAAAACCCTATGTCTTTTGATCGAAGCATTTAGTTCAGAGACATTTAACGTAATTATTGATAGGTATGTACTTCCTGCTGTTTTCTGGTTGTTTCTGTAGTTGTCCCTTGTTATTTCCTTCTTTTACTTTCTTCCCTAGTGGTTTAATGATTTTTTTTAGTGGTATCTTTGTGTTCCTTTCTCTGTTGTCTTTGTGTATCTATGGTAGGTTTTTGATTTCTGGTTACCATGGGATTCATATATGTTGGCCTGTGAATTAGATCTGTCTGTTTTAAACAGGTATTCTTTTAGGGTCAAATACATTCTAAAAGATCTATGTTTTAACTCCCTTCCCCCACATGTTGTTTTTTATGTCATATTTTATATCTTCATGTTCATCTCTTTACTGATTATTGTAGTTGTGCTTGATATTACAATTTTTTTATTTTATCTTTTTATTAGCTTGCTTAAGTGGTGGATCCTTCGCCTTTATATTTGCCTTTACTAGTGGGATTTTTCCTTTCCTAGTGATACCTACTTCTTGTTACAGCTTTTTCTTTTCCTCTTAGAGAAGACATTGTAACATTTTAGGGTTGGTTTTGGGAGAGCTGTAATTGAAATGAACACAAGTCCCATCTTCCCTCAGGGTGTGCTGGCAGCTGTCACCTTGGCGGGAGGTGAAGCAGGAGATGAGGGGCCAGTTCCGGAGCTAGGTGTGAAGCTGGGCTTTCCGTCTGCTTGGTGGCTGTCACTGCCCTGTCAGGAGCTAGGTCAGGTCCCAAGTTGCTGGAACAGAAGTCCTGAGGTTCAGGTCCAAGCTGGCGCAGCTCCCTTTAAGCGTGTGCTTTTCCTTCCTCCCCTGGCAGCCTCGCCCCCGAGGGGAGTGGTGCTGGAACGAGAGGAACGGGCGTTAGTGTTTGATGGAACCTGGGCTGCGGCAGTCTAGCTGCCGCCAGGGCTCTGGTCGGCCTCGGACAGGCCACCTGTGCAGCTGCCAGTTACGGCTGCCGCCTTCCGGCTCAGACACTGCTTAGGGTTTGAGCCACCTCAGCATCTCACAGCTGAGTTTTTCCCTCAGTCGTGGCAGCCCTTGCACCAGTGTGGAGAAGTGACATGAGGCAAGAGCTGCTGAAGCATTTGGTCCATTCAGGCTGGGGCTTGTGCCAGCAAGGTCGTGGGAAACCAGTCCGCCACCTGAATGGCTTCAGTCCGCCCTGTAGGCCCTGCTTTGAGAGCATGCACGCATTTGTTTCCTCCTTACAAGTGGAGTCCTGGCTTCCCACAGCCCTCCAACCAGCCAAGGGGGCTTGTCTTCCCTTTGTCAGACTCCAGGTTTCAGGTGTCTAATATGTGGCTCGAACCACTCACTCTCTAGGGAGGGTCTCTGCCCATGTAATCTCCCTTTTCCCCCGTGTCCCCTCCCAGGAGACAAGTCCCAAGCTGATCATTTCGCTTCCTTTCCTACCCAATTCTGTGTGTATCTTTCTTCAGCCTTGGTTTGATAGGCGTCTTTCAGCTAGTCTCCAGGTAGTTTTCAGTGAGAACTGTTCCATACGGAGATATTTTTGATGTATCATGGGGAGGTGAGTTCTGCATTCTCCTATTCTGCCATCTTGATTCTAGTCTTTGAACTAGGGCTTTAGACTAGTAAATGCGTTCTTCAAATGAGGAGTGATACATTTTGCAGGATAGAAGAGGGTACCTACTGAAGTCAGGATTGAAAAAAACATGAAAAAGTCAAAAAATGTTGAGAGTGCTAAGGTGATGAAAAAAGAATTGCAACATGTTACCAACGATGGTAAAATATTTCATTCTTTTCTGCCTTCTTTCCCTTTCTTCCATGCTTATGGAAAGACTAACTTCATGCTAATTGCTGAAGGCATAAAGAAAGATTGGATCTTTGTGGCAATGTCATAATTTAATAAGTAAAAACACGTTTTTTATTTTGAAATACAAAGTAAGTCTTTTTGATTAATAATCTACACATAGTAGAAGTTTACTAGTAAAGTACCTTAAGATGTACATTGATAAAACATATCCTGGAGAGGACTTTTTTAAAGCTATGTAAAATTGTCCTTGCTCTATAGGAACTCATTCTAATGAAGGACCCAGGCACAAAATCATTTACAGTATACTCTCACAAGTGCCGAGGGAAGGATCACATCAGCAAGTGGAGAGAGTAGAGAGGAAAAGCTTTTTAGGTAGAATAGAGATTATTTTCTGGAACTATGTTTGTTAGAAATAAAATTATAAATGTATTCAAAGTCATGATTCATGGAAAGATGTGGGAGTATAAAGAGAGAATTTTGGATAGACAAAGACTGGATCATATAGGGTCTTATGACATAGTAGCAGTAAAGGTTTGGGAATATATTCTAGTTATATTGGGAATAGAGAACTTGATTCTGTGATGTAACATTCTTATTTGTATTTGCAAAAGGAATGATTTGGGTGCTACACAGTTAATGGAAATTTCGAGAGGCAAGAGTGAAACAATCAAGAGACTATTAGATTATTCTAGGTTAAACATGATAGTATATTTGAAAAGAAAAGAAGATAGAGAAAACTAAACAAATCTGGGATATAGTTTGGAGGTGGAATGAATATCACCTTCCAATGTGAGAAAACGAGAAGCACAAATAATTTGTCATTTGAGCAACTGGGTGGATGGTTGTGCCTCTGGCTGAATGATAAGTGGGTGGATTGTGTAGACAGCAGGTTGACCTTGGGGTATTCGCCAGTAATATGTTACACTTAAGAGTTTTTGAAAATTAAAAAGAAAACCTTAAAAGTAGTAAATATTAAATAGACAATTATATACAAATGTTTTGTCCATAGATGAGTCAGGGTTTTAGACATGTACTTGGGAAAAATGATATTTAAAGTCTTCGACGAGTTAAATAGTCTAAGAAAAGAGTATAGGTAAGGATGAGAAGGGAGGTCAAGGTGAAGCCATGGAGCAACTGAACCAACATTTAAAGGCTGGGCAGAAGCAGCAAAGACGCTGCCTGTTGGGAGGGAGGTAAGTTTTTTAGACGCCAAAAGGAGAAAGTATTTCGGAAATGGAAGAGAGAATATTTCAGTGAAATGTTGCTTAGTGAGGACTAGCAACATTGGAGATTGTTGTTGACCTTGAAAACAACAGTTTCAGTGAAGGAGAAGAGACAGTAAGGCCTTGATGGAAGAACAGAAGGTGAGGAGAGCGAGACAGTGACTACAGATAACTGTTCTGATGAAATGCTCCATGCTTATGTATTAGGGAAGAAATACGGATGATTTAAGAGAAAGAAGGACTTACTGCAAGAAGAAAGTTGCTTAGAAAGCCAAGTGGGAATGGGATCAAGAGATCAGGTGTAGGGCACAGCATTTTGTCAAACAAGTGCAGTGGAAGGACTGAGGGGCAAGTGAGTTCGTGACGGGCAGGAATTAGTTACAGTCAAGGACTCGAATCTAAGCTGGACCAGAAGGGAGGTGCACTTACTTGAGGGGTGAGTATAAGGGGTGTGCTGGTGGGTACAGAAATATATAATATAGAGTCGAGGCTCTGGGGTAGTTAAGAAGGGATGGTGAAGGTACAGAGTGAGCTGGGAGGATTGGTGGTGGCGGTGGTGGTCAGAGCCGTAATTGTAAGGTCGCCACAGAAGTAGAGGGTATTACAGGAGCATAGAGCCTGACAGACCCAGCCAAGTGTGCCATGTTAGGAAGTCTTCCTAACAAAAATGATATTTAAGTTGAGGCCTATAAGATGGGAAAGAGACAGTTAGATGGAGAAAAGTAGAGTTATATTCGAAGAGAAGGCTCTGGCCTAGTAAGCTGATGGAGAATTGGAACAGTTAATTTATTTGTTCATGAAACACACATTTGAGTATCTTCTATGTTCTAGGCCTTATTTTTTTTGGTGGGGGGAGATACAACAATTGATGATGGATGTAGTTCCTGCCTGTGTGGAGCTTGCATTCTATTGGAAGGAGTTAAAAAACAAGTTCTGCCAGAAGAATAGAAAGCAGGGACAGGAAGTGGTACAGCCAAGGATGCAGAGATTGAGGTAGTGACAGCATGGTGGGCCTTGGATAAGAAGGTTAAGCTTAAAAAGAAAAGATCTACCCCTTTTCTGGTCTTGAACCACAAAAAATACTACTGTTGGTATTTCTTTTGTTTCCTTACAAATAGACACATAAGCATTAGTTTCCTTTACACAAAAGTAACCAAGCGTTATACCTGTACACACACGCACACACACATATACTTGATATATTTTGAGTGTTTTTTCATATCCACATATATAGATCTACCTCAGTCTTAAAAGAATTTGTTATTTCCTTGCAACACTGTATCTTTATTTAACTTGCAACCTGTTATTACTAGACATCTAGGTTGGTCTTTTATTAAGCCAGGCATTAAACAGATCTGCAAAACTGTAAATTAAATTGTAAAACACTCTTCTCACTGATTTTATTTCAGAAAAGTTATTTTTCATAAACTGTGTTAACATGAATGGGTTGGAAGACAATTACCTGTAGGTCTCTTCCATTTCTGCGCTCTCTTGTGATTGGAGGCACTCACTCCCTTTGTGGATGTTAAATGAATAGCCAAGGAGATAGAGGTCAAGTGTTTCCCTTCAGTGCAAAGATCAGGTATGCCTCCTGCCCATTATAAAATAATCAGGCTCCTAAACTCAAGGTTTCTCTCCTATAACATGACTCACTGCACATGTCACCTGGCACTCTTCATGTCCTGTGAGAACTGTGGCTCAGAATTGGTAAAAGAAAATTCCCATACTCTGGCTGCTATTAATGTGAGTTACAATGTCCTTTGTCTCTGACCTAGGCATCTTGTTTCTTTGGTCAACATCCACAAAACTGTGGCAGGCTAACTTGTAAAATCTCAGACATGTCACAATTCTAAAGAGCTTATTAAACCACATCTCAGTTTCAATACTGTACATATTGATTGATAGATATAACACACACAAATCAAGGCTTTTTAAGATCCTCAATCTTTTGTTAGAGTGCATAGATTTCTTGAGATCAAAAAGTATAAGAACCACTGCTACATAATACTTCATTATTTATACTACAGTTTACCCATTTACTGATGGATATTGGATTGTATCTTATTTTGGCTATTTTGAATAAACCTGCTACAAATATTCTCATATATGTTTTCTGATGCATCTTTAGTTTGAGAAGATATGTGGGCTCTATGCTATTGTTGTAAGTGGTAATTTTTAACATTTCATATTCCAGTTTTGCTGATACATAGAAATATAATTGCTTTTTACATTTTGACCTTACAGTGATCTTGCCAATACCCTTCTTAATTTGATTAGTCTTTCTATTATTTTATATTTTCTAAATAGATGGTGATATCATAGGCAGATAAGTTTTATTTCTTCCTTAAAAATCTATACACTTTTTTTCATTTTTTTGTGCATGTTTGCACTATTGGCATCTCACATTCAATGACGAATACAAGTGATTATAGAATACATATTTTTATTCCTTACCACAGAAGGAAAGCTTTCAACATTTTGCTTTTAAGTACATTGTTTCTGATAGTTTTGTTTTTGTAGAAAATTTTTATCAGATTAAGAAAGTTGTCTCCAATTCCTAGTTTTATAAGGGTTTTTTTTTTTTTTGGTAAGTCACATCTGAACATTGTATTTCATCAAATGTTTTTCCTACATCTACTGAGATGATCGTGTGATTTTATATTTCATTCTGTTAGTGTCCAAAATGACACTAATCAGCTTTCAAATGTGAATCCAATCTTGTATCCTTACAAAGCTACTTGACCATGATACATTTTATTACATATACTGCTGTACTGCTGGATTTAATATGCTGATTTTCATTTAGGATATTTGTACATGTATGTATGAGATATGCCTGTAATTTTCCTTTTTTCATAGGATCCTCAAGTTTTTCAAGTTCAAGCTTACGTTAGGTCAGAAAACAAGTTAGGTAGTCATTTCTCTTGTTTTCTGGAAGAATTTATATAGACTGTCATTTTTCCTTAAATGTTTAGAAGAATTCATCTGTGAAGTTAATCTATGCCTGGAATTGTCTTTACTCATAATATCATCTTTGCTGTTTTAAGTGTATAATCTGTAATGAATTCTCTCTTCATTCCTGAAATATAAATATATTTTACTTTTTAACTTAATCTTGCCAGTAGACTATTCAAAGGACCATCTTTTGGCTTCATATTCTCTATAATTTTCTATTTTACTAACATCTATTATCTTTATCATTTCCTTTTTATTTTACTTTATTTGTGCATAGTAAATATGCTGTTCTTTTTTCTAATGTCTTGTTTCCTCAGGCAGGATCTAGTCAGGAGAATAGCAATCACATTGAATATTTAAAACAGATGGAATTTAACACAAAGTATTGTTTACATCCCATCCTCAGAAAACCACTAATGCCTTCCAACTCTATAATTTAGATTTGTCATTTCTAGAATTTCATAGCAATAGAATCATATAATGCATTATCTTTTCTGCCTGCCCTTGTTCATTCAAGTAGAATGTTTTCAGATTCATCCATATTTTACGTTATCAGTAGTTCTTTCTTATTGGTAAGTAGTATTCCATTGTATATACATACCACAGTTTATGCATTCACCTGTTAATGGGCATTTGGGTTGTTTCCAGATTTTGACTATTATTAGACAAAGATTCTATGAACAGTTGTATGTAGGTCTTCGTATAGATATATATTTTCCTTTTGCTCATGTAAATAACTAGATGTGGAATTTCTAAGTCATATGGAAATGTTATTGAAGTTTTCAAAGCAGTTCTTAAGAATGTTTACATAGTTGTAACCACTCTTATATTCTGTTAATACATTGGCACTTACCCCTATGTTTCAGTATTAGGCAATTTTTAAAATTTTTACTGTAACTTCATAGATAGGGTTGTGGGGAGACACTGCATCTAAAACCCAGGCCTAAATTCATGGTAGTTAACATTTATTAAGTGCCAACCTAAAAGAGTCTGCCTGTTATTCTCATTTTTCAGATGAGGTGTAAACTGAAGCCTAATTATGTTAATTAACTTACCCAAAAACACAAAACTACAAAGTTGCAGAGCCAGGATTGGAACCAAATAAGTTGGTTTCCCAATTCTGTATTTTTAAAATCTACACCTCAATTATGGAATAAAACTGTAAATGTATACTTGATAGTTGAAACAAGGAAGGAAAAAGATACACGTGCTTTCAGCATAAACAGCAGCATCCATGTAAATGAAGTAGATTTCCAATATCTGACTTTGGTCAAGATGTATTTTAAAACTAATTAATTTTGAATATCATGTTGGAATCTGATAGTTCCCAAATTTAGTAAGACTACTTATCCCATAACTCTGTCTAAATATATACACACCAAATATTGCATCCATGTATTTTGGCACTAATTAGAATATCCATAGCAAACACTAGCAGCACATAATTGATTAAATTAAAAAAGATACACACCATATTGTTGGATTTTCTTGTACTTTTTGCAGTTGAAGTTTGAGCTTCTGTTCAATATGTTCCATGGGTTGTACAGAATAATATCTGAACAGCTGTAACATCTTCACCTCTTGGCACCAAGGAATGAATGGGGAATCTATAATGTGTTACTGTATTAAAAAGTTTGTTTTTCAGAGAAAGAGTAATAGGTAACATCAACTTTGTGATGACATGAATCACCTGTTTTTTAAGGAAATTATTAGCAAGTTTTCAAATAAGGCACCTTCAAGGGGCTTATAAAAATATTTTATATTCTAAAATACAGTAACTGCATTATAATCTCTATTTAAACAGAAAGTATGTTAGTTGGGTACAGCACTTTCCAGTTTAACTATCATAACTCTTGTTGAGATAGAAGACTGCCACTGAAATCACTAATAATAGATTCCAGGGAAAACAGCATCTTTATTAGATAAATCCAAAGCAGTTGGATTTACTACGGAGACCTGTCGTACGAACATTTCAGAGAAGAAACATACCTGAAAAGGGCTGCTTATAAAACAGCAGAGAGGGGATGTGCTTTGTGAAACAGGAAGGTAAGAATATGAAGTACTTAAACAACAAAAATCACATCTCTATCTACATATTTAGAGACTCAGTACTTGGAATACAAAAAAAAAAAAAACTACATACTTCTTTCTTTATCCAAGGACAGAATTCCCTCACATTGGCAATCTCTGATTTTATAAACTACTAGAGAAAAAACATGAAAATTGGTAAAAAAGGAAAAAAATGACATTTTAAGTTTTAGCAGTGATATTTACTTAATACAGACTGTACAAATTCTCAGAACTGCCTTAAAAATACTCTTCTTTCAGACCAATTATGAAAAGGTACATTTACAACTCACAGAAAGTGTGATTTCAGGTTGCAGGAAACCCAGGCAAAAGCTATATGAGATGCCGTTTACGTGTCATGAAAGTGAAATGGAGCTAATGAGCCTATCACAATGGTTTGTATCATACTCATTTCTGACTCTGCCTTTATGGCAGCTACAGTTCAGAAAAAGTCCATCCACTCCATGTATATCTGGCTGCTCCCTGCTCCAGTACCAGTGTTAGAAAACTCAATTTAAATCAAACCTAATGACTTCTGCCAGCCGCAGTGTGCTTACCAACACTCCTCTCCCTCCCATAACATTCTAGCATGACTGTTTCTTGTATCTTTCAGCCTTCCTCCAGTCCAACCACACTCTAATTGGCTGGCTGGGGATTCCACTGTCACTCAAGCGAAAGAAACTGCAAGCTCATTGAGGAAATTAGAAGCTGAGTTTGCATTTTGAGTTGGCTCCAAGGATACATATTTACTGGCCTTAAAAAAAAAAAACTCCTATACACAGCCCTCTAGAAGGTAAGACAGTACATGAAACTGTACCTTAACATACAGCAGCTCTTTTTTCTGACATATTTAATTGTTTACTCCCATGCCTGTAGTCAAGAATGGAACTGAAGGCTTGTCTTCACTTTTCACCACAGAAAAAGTGAGCCGTGCATCATCTGGAAGCCCCTTTCAACAACCTCTGGGCTACCACTTCTTAAATGACCTCTTGTGAACTAAAGATTATTTGGTTTCTGGAGGGAATTTAGCAAAGTTTTCTGTAGGTACCAATCCCAACAATTCAAGATTTAGTTTTCTGCCTCTAGATTAGGGCTGTTAGCATCAAATGATTTATGTTTTTTAAAATTCACAAAATATGCAATATTTCTGGATTGTTACTAGTGTACCTAATACTACATAGCACAGGAGAAATTTTTCCAGATCATGATATGTGAATAAGGGAGATATTACTAGCTCTGTGTCACCAAATATGAGTTTCACAGAGTCAACAAAGGACCAGCTGGTGGTCCGGCTGTGCAGTGAATGTGGAAAGGTTACAAAATACCTGACACAAAGTCCTTGCCCTCAAGTAGTTTCCACCATGTGAAAGAGACATTTAAATAGAAAATGCACTGTGTTTTCTAAAGTACCAAACTTGTAACATAGATAACAATTGATAGCGTTTTGGGGAGGGGGTGGGAGATGACTGAGATGGGTATTTGTTTCACAGTTATATTTTCACTAGCCATTCTCTTCCCTGCCTCTCTGGTCAAAAGTAGAGCAGAAAAAGAAGGGGAAAAAATCTGATAATCGCTAAGCTTCAACTGTCAAATAACTCAGATTGGCTCTGTTCTCATTCGTCAAAAAGACACAGTATGGAGAGGAGATAAAGATAATGGCACAGGAGGACGTGGAACTCACCTCCACAAGGCTGAAAGAATGCTCCATATGGAGTCGGAAGGGAAGAGAAGTGATCAGGCCAGGACCTGTGCCCCAGGAAGGGGACTCAGAGGAAAAAGGGGAGTTTACAGGGGTGGAGACCCTCCCTGAGGAGTGAGTGGTTCAACCCACATATTGGGCACCCCAGCTCTGGGATACAGCACAGGGAAGACGAGTCACCATGGCTGCTTGGAGAGCTATGGGAAGCCTGGACCCTGCGGGGGAATGAGCACCTGTGTGCCTGCTTGTTCCTGAAGCAGGGTGGATTGAAACCATGGGCGGTGGCTGCCGAGAGCCTGCCCGGGGCCCCTTGTGCTCAAGCACTGCTCCTCTGTGGGGCAGGGGCACCGGTGCTGGGAAGCAGTAGAGCTTACACTCAAAGGGAACAGACCCAGCTCGGACCCAACCCTCAGGGTTGTGCTCAAGCAACTTGGGACCTGACCCTACCTCTGATCGGGCAGTGATGGCCAATGAGCAGAGGGGAAGCCTGGCCTCAAACCTGCCTCTGGCCCCAGCCCCTCCTTCTCCAGGCCCACCTTCTACCAAGGTGACAGGTGGCAGCACACCCTGAGGAAAGATGTGACTCGTGTTCACATCAGACACAGCTGTCCCACCAAAGCCACTGGGCATAGGGATGCTCCCACATGAGGACAGCCCCTCAAGATTGCAATAGGTTACTATTTCTCCTAAGTTCAGAGAGACAGAAAGTTAAGCAAAATGAGAAGAGTTGTCTAAACTGAAAGAGCTAGAGAAAACCCCTGAAAAAACAACTAATGAAACAAACCACTTTACCAGACAAAGAATTCAAAGCATTAGTAACAAGAATGCTAACTGAATTAGGGAGAAGAATAGATGAACACCGTGAGACTTTTAACAGGGAACTAGACAATATAAAAAAGAACTAGGCAGAACTGAAGAAAGCATGTGCCTGTTGGCTATCTGGATGTCTCCTTGGAGAAATGTCTATTTAGGTCTTCTGCCTATTTTTTTTTATCGGGTTGTTTGTTTTTTGATATTGAGCTATGTAAGTTGTTCGTATATTTTAGAAATTAAGCCCCTGTTGGCCACATTGTTTGTAAATATTTCCCCCGTTCCGTAGGTTGTCTTTCCGTTTTGTTTATGGTTATGGCTGTGCAAAAGCTTAAAAGTATAAGTAGGTCCCATTTGTTTATACATACTTTTCTTTCTTTTGCCTTGGGAGACTGAACTAAGAAACCATTGCTGTGATTTATGTCAGAGAATCTTTTGCCTATGTTCTCTTCTAGGAGATTTATGGTGTCCTGTCTTACAGTTAAGTCTCTGAGACATTGTGAATTTATTTTTGTGTATGGTGTGAGGGGATGTTCTCATTTCATTGATTTACATGTGGCTGTCCAGCTTTCCCAACACCACTTGCGAAAGAGACAGTCTTTTCTCCATTGTATACGCTTTCCTCCTTTGTCAAAGACTAATTGATCATAGATGTGTGGTTTATTTCTCAGCTGTCTGTTCTGTTCCATTGATCCATATGTCTGTTTTGGGGCCAATACTATGCTGTTTGGTTATTGTAGCTTTGTAATGTTTTCTGAAGTCAGAGAGTTATGTCTCCAGCTTCGTTCTTTGTCCTCAGGATTGCTTTGGCAATTCTGGGTCTTTTGTGGTTCCCATATGAATTTTAAGATGATTTGTTCCAGTTCTGTGAAAAATGTGTTGGGTAATTTGATAGGAATTGCATTAAATCTGTGCATTGCTTTGGGTACTATGGCCATTTTAAAAGGGATTTTTTCTTTTTCTTTTTTTTTTAACTTTCTGATATTTCATTGTTAGTGTAAAAAAAAAAGTCCAACAGATTTCTGTATGTTAATTTTGTATCATGCCAACATCCAGGTGGCCAAGAGACACATGAAAAGATGCTCAATATCACTAATAATTAGAGAAATGCAAAACAAAACTACAATGAGGTGTCACTTCACACCAGGCAGAATGGCCATCATCAAAAAGTCTATAAATGCTGCAGAAGGTATGGAGAAAAGGGAACCCTCCTGTGCTGTTGGTAGGAATTTAAATTAGAGAACAGTATGGAAGTTCCTTAAAAAACTAAAAATAGAGTTATCATATGATCCCACAATCCCACTCCTGGGCATCTATCTGGAGAAAATTCTAATTTAAAAAGATATATGCACCCCAGTGTTCATAGCAGCACTATTTACAGTAGCCAAGACGTGTAAACAACCTAAATGTCCATCAACAGATGACTGGATAAAGAAGATGTGGGGGGGGTGTGTATGTGTATACATACATACATATATATATATATATAAAATGAAATATTATTTCATTCTTTTGTATGGCTGAATAATGCCATTTGCAGCAACATGGATGGACCTAGAGATTATACTAAGTGAAGTAAGTCAGAGAGAGGACAACTATGATATCACTTATATGTGGAATCTAAAAAAATGATACAAATGCACTTATTTACAAAACAGAAACAGACTCACAGACATAGAGAACAAACTTATGGTTACCAAAGTGGGAGGAGGGACAAATTAGGAATTTGGGATTAGAAGATACACATTACCATATATAAAATAAACAAGTTCCTTCTGTAGAGCACAGGAAACTATTTTCCATTGCAGGTTATTATAAGATATTGAATATAATATGAAAAGTCGTATATATTATTATATAATTACACATATATAATTAAATATGCTGAATCACTTTGCTGTACACCTGAAACTAACACAACATTGTAAATCAACTATATTTCACAGGCATAGAAAATAAACTTACGGTTACAAAGGGGGAAAGGGTTAAATTAGGAGCTTGGGATTCTTAGATAAACAACAAGGTCCTACTGTATTCAATACCT